GGACGCCGCCGCCATCGTCGCGTGTCTGCGCGAGTTTCTGAGTGTACCCGAGACCGTGCTGGCCATTTCGATAAGCCACATGGAAGAGATGCCGCAGGACATGGACCCGTGCGTGGTGTGCTTGGGCGAGTTTGACGTTGACGACTTTTGCGGTCCGTCGACAGTGCTTGCGCTGGCGTGCGGTCACGTGTTTCACCGCGATTGCCTTCAGCAATGGTGCGCGGTGGCGGCAACGTGTCCGACGTGTCGGCGTGATGTGGGTCAGATGACGAGCTTGAGCATGTACGAGTAACTCGTTTCAGTGTACAAGTCATGCCATATTGTGGAAAAATATATGTACTAGTTTCTTTCAAGTCGGGATAAATGTTGAACACTCCAATCAAGCAGTTAATTATTTTCAACAACGTCAGATCGGAAAGTTGTGTACGGTTTTATCGTGGTCAGGTTTTCAAGATCGGACTTTACGTCCTCGCGAAAATATAACAAAATCGCAAACGAGAGCCACGTTGTGCGTCTGGGTTGGGAATGACCAAGAGTGTACTAGTACTACAACGACTGCTAGATTGATGACAGAATCCACAACAAGTGCACGAATGTAGCGCCTTCCAGCAGAAAGTAGAAAGCACATAATTATGTTTCAAGCGGCACGATATCGTGAGTGTGCGGAATGGGAGGAGTATCTTCCTACCGTCTCCCCAGCGACTTCTGCGACTGTGTCGTTCGAAAATTTAAATGCAGCCTCACGATGGCATTTATTGAACCTTCTGGCGTGTACGGGAGCGGAATGAAAAGTAGCCGCTTCAAGTCGTCAGTGGGCCGATACCAAAATGCTTGCAACAATTCGCATGATATGCTTTTTACTCTACTGAGCCGTTTTTACCCCAATTTGCGCCACCTCTTCCTATCATCACAGACTGACGGCGACTCTTTCACATCTTTTTATCCTCTCTCGGTAGCATGCTCCCAACCTCTTCTTGGAAGAAGGACGAAGTGCACTTCATTGCAACTGCCAAAGAGCTTGCCGCGTCCTGGCCAAGCACATGGCCACTACTGGCAGCAGCTCCATGGACAGCAGTTTTCGAGCTCGCACCTGTCGTTGTCACGCCATCGATCGGCTCGGGACCACACACGCTCGGCTACTTTGTCCAGTACAACATGACCTTGCAGTGCCCGATCACGTCGCGGTCCTGGACCATCCACTCGCGCTACTCACTGCTGCGTCAATTTCGATTGCATTTAGCAAAGCTGCACGCCGCGGCGCCGTCGCGATCCCTAGCTCACGTGCTTCAGCTACCCTTTCCCGACAAGACGTGGGACCCGGAGAGACCACGCACCATTGCCGAGCGCATGAGGCGTTTCCAAAGCTTTGTCGAGCATCTCTGGAGCTTGTACACAAGCTGCGTTGTGCCCGTGGCTGGCGCGTCAACGGAAGAAGAATGACATCGTTCAATGTCTCCGCGCGTTCTTGTGCGTGCCGGCGGCTGTGCTGGCGATATCGGTGCGACGCGTCGATGAAATGCCCCAAACGATGAGCCAATGCGTGGTGTGCTTGGCCGAGTTTGAAGCCGACGACTTGAGCTCTCCGTCAACGGTGCTGGAGCTAGCCTGCGGCCATGTCTTCCATCAAGTTTGCCTTCGGCAGTGGTGTGCTGTAGCAGCAACGTGCCCGACATGCCGGTCTGAAGTGGGGCATGTGACGCTCGTTCAAATGTAATTCATGGCATTTTTGTGCGATTTAATGTCGGAATATATTAAATACAATACGGTACCGTGATCACTCTGATCTACATGTTCCGAGCGCCTTGGCCATGAACAATGGCCGCGGGATTCGGACCCGCATGGAGACGGTCACATGTGGCTTGGTAGATCGGCGCTTGCAAGGGCTACGTCGGTTCGTACTTCAACCATCCAATGGGTGCGGCGACGCCAACATAGACATTCCTTGAATGACGATTATTGCCCTGGAATTCGTAGAAGTGCTCGGCCAATGCAATCCCGGCATGCACTGGGGGGACATTTTAGAGTATCTTGTGAGTGATGGTCGATTCAAAGGTGTACCCTAGACTGGTATGCGAATCATCGAGCCTCGCACATCCTTTGGAGCTGGCTGTCGATGGGTGCTTGCCATGTGCGCTTTCTCGTTGGTTGGCGACACAAGACATCCAAGTTGTTGTGGTGGAGACTGCTGTCGGGCTATTTCTCTGCGTGGTCTTACTTTGTTTTTACCCGCGCTCTTCGTACGTTTGACCGCGTACGCATGACGTTGCGTCACGTTGCGACCGATGAGATTCATTTCATCGCATCCGCCAAGACACTCTTTGCATCGCTCGCGCGTAGAGCGTCAGCGCGCCCGTTTCCATGGCTGGCAACGCAGACGCCCATCTCGCTGGACGCGTCGATTGGCTCGGGACAGGGCGTCGTTGGCTACTTTGTGCAGTATGATGTAATACGCTTGACGTGTCCGATCACATCGCAGTCGTGGATCATCCACAAGCGCTACTCGCAGCTGCACCACTTTCGATCGCAGTTAGCAAAGCTCCACGCGGCGACGGCGTCACCATCACTCGCTTGTCTCCTGTAACTTCCATTCCCCAAGAAGGCACTTGACTCGGAGAAGCCGAGCGTCATTGCCGAGCGCATGCAGCGCTTCCAGATCTTTGTCGAGCACGTCTGGAGCTTGTACGCGAGCTGCGTGGTGCCGATGGATGGCGCGCCAGAGGACGCCGCCGCCATCGTCGCGTGTCTGCGCGAGTTTCTGAGTGTACCCGAGACCGTGCTGGCCATCTCGGTGCGCCACATGGAAGAGATGCCGCAGGGCATGGACCCGTGCGTGGTGTGCTTGGGCGAGTTTGACGTTGACGACTTTTGCGGCCCGTCGACAGTGCTTGCGCTGGCGTGCGGTCACGTGTTTCACCGCGATTGCCTTCAGCAATGGTGCGCGGTGTCAGCAACATGTCCGACATGCCGGTCTGAAGTGGGCTTAATGGCATACTTGGAGCTCCACTAGTGTTGTGTCGACGATTCTGAACTCTTCTACTGAATTTTCTTCTCATTTTTTATCAAAAGCTCGACTTCAATTTTGGTGAAACGTGAAACCGATGATGTGGATGTTGTGTACGTGGTGGAATTTTTGCGGATATGGTATACGTTGTGACCCTATCCGTGCCTGCTGGATGATTCCTCGAGTCCTAATAGTATTTTCATTTTACGCTTTTTGATATAGAATAAATAAATGTCTATATTTGTTGTGTTGCTTCAAACGACAAGGCTAAAGTCGAGCGGCTCGAGCGTCGCCAGCCATGCCCCATCGCTGTCTTCGAGCAGATCGGCACACAACGCCCAGTCGGCAGCGTCCACGGTCATGTCTTCGTCGCCCTTTTCGAGGTCGTCCAGGGCGCCCACAAAAAGCTCTTCGAGGATGTCAAGAGACGGCAGTTCCATCACCGACGGACTTTCGACCTTCATGGTTGAAGACGGCAGAGGCGACGACGCCAGCGAGCCCTCGCGCTTGCGGGCGATCGGCGTCGTCTCGAGCGTCGAGCTGCGGTTGAACTCGGGGTGGCTGAACGTGCACACGTGCGACTGCGTCTTGGTCCACTTGCGGAAACCAAAGTAGTTGAGCTGGCGCTGGAAGCTCGCGAGTTTGTTGTGTTTAAAGTACTTGGGGAGGACCTCATTTTCGAGGCGCGTGACGCTGTAGAGCTGGATGGCGGCGCCGTCGGCCGACCACGAGATGATGCTGGGGTCTTCGGTGGTGAGAATGGAGTAGAGGTGGCGAAGGAACTTGGGCACGCCGGTGGTGCGGGGCTGCTTGGAGGTCGTCATTATGGTTGTAGTTGTTGTTGTGGTTTGTGTTGCGAGAGGCAATTGCAAGAATGAAGAGGCAAACGTGAGGTCATGCTCGTGTGGTAGGAAGGTTCGAGCACGGTTCTAAAGGGACCAAGTGGTGCTAGGCAATCGCTCGGAAGTCTCCAACGCGGCCGATCCAGGTGGCAGTGATACACGATGGCCTTGTGCTCACAACGTCCGAGTCTGTCACGCTAGACCCTAGCATGTCACCAAGAGTGACCTGCCGCCTGTCACGTTTTCCAATGCTCTAGGTAGCAGCGCCATCGAGCCCTCTCAATAAGATCTTCAAACGAAAATCATGGAAGGGTGCGCACCACCGACAGTTGATGTGTATGCGAAGCACGAATAGAGATTGGCGACTGGACTTGATACCTCGAAAGAAATACCCAGAGCCATAACAGCTTGCGTCGCTCGACAGGTCTTGTATTCCATAGCCCAAAAACGAAGTGCCCTGGTATACCACATCCAGGTAACCCATGAACTCTCCATAAATGTCGTCCACATGCAGTGCTGAGGTGATAAGCACACATCGATGGTGTTGCATGGCCACGGTCATCGCTGCAACGACAAGGATAAGGGAGCAAAAACATGTGGTTCCGGACCAGATTGCCAGATGTGCGCGCACAAACGAGCCAGATTGCCAGTGGTGTGGTCCGCGTGCACTGTCTGAAAGACGAGACGACGACTGTGGCTTGCTCTACTGTGGGTGGTCAAGCTCTTGTCTAGATGGTCAAGGACGTGCCACCTTGCTGAGCTCTCCCCTACCGGCACATCACCGCCTCCTTCTTTCACCGGCGTTCAGAGCTCACGTAGCCATGCTCTCAGCAGTTCACAGGGTCGTTCGCCCCTTCTTGAAATGCTCGCAATGAGCAAAGGATCACGGTCGAGGTGGCCGGCCAGAGATTTGAAGAAATGCAGCACGTCCATCGGTCGACACGTGACAAATGAAATCGCCTTAGAACAGTCGATAGAAACGGAGGCAGTAACGATACACGGTGCTTCTCCGAGCCGTACGACGACGGCCCATCAAATGGCGAGGAAGCCGGCGAACGGTATCTATGTATCGATGAGCACTCGGCCTACTGCGCGATAGGCAGCGCACATCCATCGATCTTCGACTTGGCTTGCGCGATTGGTGCACAGCCAGTACATGTACCAAGCATTCTTGACGGCAATGGCAATCGGATTGCGTCATCATGTACCTGAGGGATCTGATTGGCCAGCCTTCTGACGTCGTTGCACAGCCATCATCCAAGCACGGCACGCCAGCGCGACGCTGGACCGCGCCGGACTCGGAGAACGCCGTCCATCAAAGCGCGTAGCTACCCTCGTCCTCCGTCAACTTTCGAGCTTTGTCGTCTCGTTGTAATCTAGGTACGTGGCAGGCTCGTTGGCGGTTTGTTTTGCCGTCGCAGTACTAGTACACTGTATCATCCGAAAATTGCACTGTACGAGGAGGTCGGCCTGTCTACTGCTGGTTCGACACCCAGTCACTCGGCACTTTCCAAGATGCTCCGTGCGCGCCTCAAGTCGACGCTGGCCGCGGTCGCGGCCGAGATCCCAGCGCCTCTGAGCGCGATCCCGACTGCTCCCGAGGTGGGTTTTGGGCCCTTCCGCTGCAGCCTCGCGTTCTTTGGCAAGGACGATGGGCTTGGCCGCCACCATGAGCGCTTTGACACGCTGCACAAGATGCTCGGGCCGATCTACAAGTTCCGCGTCTTGCCGTTCTCGCCGTACATGGTCAGCATCTGCGACCAGCTCTCGGTCGCGCACGTGTACCGCAAGGAAGGTCCGTTTCCGGAGCGCTTCTCGCTCGCGTGCTGGCGCCTCCATCGCCGCGAGAAGCAGTGGCCGATCGGCATTGTCAACGCGCACAACCACGAAGAGTGGAAGAAGTTTCGGGCGAGCATGAGCGAGCACATTCTGCAGCCACACAACATTACGACGTGGCTACCGCGGCTCAACGACGTGGCGAAGGACCTGGCGACGCGCTTGGCAGCGGACGCGGCGTCCTCCGAGCCTGTCAACGTCGCGCTCCCGCTCAAGGCGTTTGGCCTCGAGTCGGTGAGCTCGCTCGTCTTTGGGAAGCGCATGGGGTGTCTCTCCCCCGACCCGACCACGCCCGTGCCGCCGGACGCCCAAGCGTTCATTGATGCGTTCTACGGCGTTTTGCACACGTCCCAGGACATGCTCAACTTTCCGCAAGAGACGCCGGACTGGGTCTACAAGCTCCTCCCAGTGTACAAGGAGTTTGTGCAGCATGCCGACTACATCTTCGATGTCGGCTCGGCGTTCGTGCTGGAAAAAATGGCCGCACGCGACAATTCGATCGCCGAGCAGGACCTTCTGAGCGTCTTTCTGGCCCGGCCCGAGTTTGACCAGCGCGACGCGGTGGCCCAAGCCGTCGATTTGCTGTTTGCAAGCGTCGACACGACCGGCACGGCGCTCCTCTGGATCACCTACTGCCTTGCGACGGCCCCGAACGGCCGCGCGATCCAGATCAAGATGCGCGACGAGGCGAATGCGGCGCTCGCTGGCAAGAGTGACATTGACGATGCGGCGCTCGAGCAGCTCTCGTACATCCGCGCCGTGGTCAAGGAGACGCTGCGACTCTACCCGGTTGCGAACCCGAACCAGCGCGTCCTCCCCAACGACTTGACGCTCCTCGGCTACAGCATTCCGAAAGGCACCAGCGTCCTCATGCAGACGTACACGATGAGCCGGGACCCGACGGTGTTTGAAAACCCAAACGAGTTCAAGCCCGAGCGATGGCTCGAGCGCGATGGCAAGACCGCGAGCCAGCGCCAAGCGGCCGCGTACTCGACCTTGCCGTTTGGTATGGGCGCGCGTGGCTGCGCAGGCCGGCGCCTTGCCGAGACTGAGATGTACATGCTCCTCGCGCACCTCGTGCGTAAGATGGAGCTGCAGTGGCCCGAGGGCCAAGAGCACCCGGACGCGATCATCAAGACGTTCATGATGCCCAACAAGGAGTTCAAGCTCCGCCTCGTGCCGTGGTCGTCGTCGTAGATTCTGTACTGCATTTGATCTGCGTCCTGTCTCTGAAAATATATATACCGTACTAGATTTTGTGTTGCGTTTGGGGGTAGTACTTGCGACGAAACGACCTTTCTATCAACGTATCAAGTCGCCAACCCGACAGGGCACCGCGTGTTGGCACTAGTAGACGTGTGACGTCGAATGCGCGTTGAAAGACTTGAAACACAACATAGTGGAGGCGGTGTATTATACATGCACGTTGCCATCGTTCGTGCTTCGAGGGTCCAAGAACGAGTTGCCATTTGCGTGCAATTGGCGCGCGCGTTGGAGCATCGACGAGCGCAAGAGGCGCCGGAATTCAATCGCGTCCGGCGCGTCCGGGTCGTGTTCAAACACACGGGCCATAAACGTCCACTCGTCCAGCTGGTTGCGCTCGCTTAGCACCCGCACGTGCATCTCGGTTGACGGCGTCGTGACGGAGCCGCGCGTCGGCCACGGCGACCACTCTGCATTTGGCCACAGCGAGGGCGGACTCGTCCCCTCTTGATATCGAACGACGTCGGGGGGAAGCGACCGTGGTCCCATTGGATGCGCGCCAACACCGACGTGTCTCGTGCCAGGCTCGAATCGTGTGCTTGGTGCCGGTCCGTGGTACGTTGCTTCCGGGCCTCGGAGCGCTGCGTCGGGGTGTCGGTACACTGTTTCGGGGTGTCGGTACACTGTTTCGGGGGGTCGAAACGGAGCCTGTGGGACCGGTGGGTGCGGCGCCAGCGAGTAGGCGCCGCGGGGAATACGGTGCCCGACCTCGCGGAACCTGGCCGCGGCCGGACGATTCCTGCCGGGCGCCTCATAGACGGCGGCAGGCGGCTCTGAGATGGTCGTGACAGGCGGCTCCGAGATGGCGGTGGCAGGAGATGCCGATCGCTCGGAGGTGGTAGCAGGCGCCGAGACGGCAGCAGGTGGCGGGGTTGTAGAAGGATCCTCCGACAGCGCGGGAGGCTCGGTCGAGGACGCGGCAGGCTCGGTCGAGGACACGGCAGGTAACTCTGAGGATGTGTTCGGTACCTCTGAGGACGTGTTAGAGGACTGTGCGGACTCGACGGTCGGTTCGGACGTCGGCGAGGCGTGCGTGTTGCTGGCCTCGGATATCGTCAGAAAAGACGTGCGTGGCGGCGTGGCGTCTGGCGACCGCTTGGCGCGCTTTGCCGGCGCCTCCTCTGTGTGATCGTTCGCGTCGTCGTCTGTCGCTGGCTCGCGCGGCAAGCGAAGGAAGCGGCACCATGCCGGTGTATTCCGCAGGAGGCGCCAGCACGCCAAGACACCGCGCCGGTCGACCGCGCCAAGCTTCTCGACTGGAATCGCCGCGAGCTCGTCCAAGATGACAATGTCGTCGACGACATTGGGCGACTTGACCGCGATTGCGCGCGCGACAGCAGCGTCGAGGAGCGAGAGAATCGCGCTGATCTTCTTCCAGCGCGACAAGAGGGCGACGGCCGACCGCTGCGTCGGGCGGTTGCTGCGCTCGACGATGTACTCGTGCATGCGTGCGAAGAGCTCGGGCGGTCGTCGGCGCGAGCTCGTGTCTTCGCTGCAGATGGCGAGCCACGCATGGCAGAGCTCGAGGTCGTCTTCCTTGGACCACGCCACGCCCCGTGGCATGCTGGTTCTTGGTTCTTGGTGGCACGCTGCAATAGTGTTTTAAACACTCTGAAGATGTTGGATTGTCCCATGACAGGGTTCCAGTATGCGATAAAATACACCATTCTTCTCGTTGGATTGGCTGATTTTCGTGGCCTTTCAGCCAATCCGATGGTCCCGCCCGTTCCCGCCAACACCCAAGACACAGAGCGTTGGTTCACTTGCCGTGTCAGCACAGAGCAGTCAGCTCCTACTAGTACTCGCCCACAGTGTGATAGCATCTTCACCGCGGCCCAGCTCAAGCTAAGCCACGTGGAACCCATCTCCTCGCAAACGATCGCCGAACAAACATGCTCTCGATTGATACCTTGATAGATAGCATGCCGTTGATTCGCGTGCATCAGCTAGCTGGACGCTCCATACAGAGAGTTGGTCGCCTACGTGCACGTACATATTCGATACCGTCGGGCATGGGAGCGCCGGGACAAGCAACAGCGATCGACTCGGTCAACTCCTTCCAGAGCTCCTTGTTCAGCTCCCTCCGCGACGTCGTTGCAGGTCGTGAGGCGCTTCTGAAGAGACGAGGTCGTCGTCGAGCAAGCGTAGCCGCGTTGGCCGGGCTCGGTGCTCGTTCACAATGGCAACGACTGGCAGATCAGTGACAAGAATGACCAACGTGACAGATAAAATAGTAAACCAACAATGCTACATTCGCATGTCGACACATATAAAGTACAGACGCGTTCAATCCGCGACGCCGTGAAGGCACGCCGCGACGAGCGACGGCAATTGACGCCGAAGCAGCGGCACATCGTGCATGTGCGCGGCAAGCTGTGGCAGCTGGTGCTCGTCGGCAAAGCAGTCGGCGAGGAGGAGGTCGAGGCCTGGGCGGCTCGTCGTCTTGGTATGGATGTTCGTCGCGACCAGTTGATGCTCGAGGACGAACGCTGCCAGCTGCTGCACAAAGCCAGCTTCAAGAAACGCTGTCGTGTCGACGAGCCAAGGGTGGGCGCGCGCGGCTGCGATCGTCGCGCGCTTGGCCGGGTAGAGCTGCAAGAGCTGCTGCACAAAGTCTCGGGCGTCTGCGGAGAGAGTGCCATACGTAAGGATCGGCGAAAAGTCGGCGCCGTCAAATGGAAGGCGGTGGAGTAGCATCGCATGCACGACGACGCCGAGGCTAAAGACGTCGATCGACGCACCGTACGCTTGCTTGCGGCACATTTCCGGGGCCATGTAGCCGTCCGTGCCGCACTGCCGCGTGAGCGGATGGCGGCACGAGGTCGCAAAGCCAAAGTCGGCCACTTGCACCGTCAGCTTCCATGGCGCGTGCGGGTCCACCGCCGTCACGAGGATATTTTCGAGCTTGAGGTCCCGGTGCACAATGCCGTGGGCGTGCATCGCATCGAGAGCGTCGAGCAACTGCAACGCAATGTGCTTGGTCGCCGCCTCCGAGAGCGGTCCGTGGGCCGTGACGTACGAGAGAAGGTCGCCGTGGGCTGCGAGCTCCAAGACGAGCGAGATCGTGCGGTCGTCGCCATGCTCGCTGTCGACGTCGTCAAAGTGATCGAGGAGGCGGACAATGTGGGGATGGCCTTGCAGTGCGCGGAGACAGGCGATCTCGCCGCGCACGTCCTTGAGTGCATACACGCTATTCGTCACGGTGCGCGTCATGCGCTTGATGGCGACGGCGTGGCCCGACGCCTTGTGCTGGCCGCGCACGAGGTACGCCGAGCCACCGGCGGCGAGGAGAGCGCTGCGGTCAATGTCGTAGACGTCTTCGAGCGACGGCCGTACATACGGGGCGATGGCTACCGGTTCGCCGGTGCAGGGCGCCTTGGTGAGCGCGGCCCACTGCGCCGCCCTCGAGAAGGAGCTGCCTCGGGCGGTCCCACCGCGAACGGCCGCGACCGAGAGCGATGGGCGCTGCATGGCTGCGATCTTATGAGCGACTGAGCTTGGACGATGGCTGGAATCTTGCCGGATAAAAAGTCGAAGCCTGGCCTTCTTCCGGATACGACGTTGAAGTTGCTTCGATGAAAGAACGCCGAAATCAAACACGGTCATACGCCGGCGGTATCAACTCGATAGCGTCTTGATACAATCCAATTGGCGGCGTGTCGATCTACCGATGCATACCGGTGGGTCGAGTGATGCACGCAACATGAGATGTGGCAGCGGAGACCACCCACCTATCATCTTCGGTTGGGCACTCGGCTGCATAAGTATGCTCCGGACGAGATGCCACCCGATTCGAAGGAGCGTTGAGAACGGCAAGACAATGAAGTACATAAGGATGTGGTTGTTTTATGCTATCGCCTTTGTATGGATCCAAGCGAATGCAAGATATAAGTTGCATTGCAGCAAGGAGATTCCGAGGGGTAGGGTCTGCTGCGCCCACTTTCAAAGAGCATGCTAGGTATCCACGTCTTGCAGGTGATCGCAATTGTTGAATGTGCTTCTTCTGTGGACATCGCGTCTCTACCCATTTTCGTGTCATGTTCGGATGGGTCATCCAGAGCAGAAGGTTCAACGCCCACGACCAAGCCCCATGACCGCTGGTCGTCGCAACAGATTTCGACTCCACGCCCACCACCACAAAGGGCTCCGTATCCATTTATCGGGTCCACTTGCTCTCAAACGAAAGGGCCGTGCACCATGGTATCGCCTTCCTGGACCGCGCCACGGCTAGTCTCCAGAGCGACATGAAATGTCTACTGGATGCTTGACTGGGAAAGAAGCTCCACTTTACTACCTACGGACCTTGAACCTCGCATTGGTTGCGTGAAAAGCAAGCGTGTGCCGTCGTAGCAAAGGTCAGCGACGACCGTCGCCAACCACTGCAGCTAGTATACACCACGTCGTTTCGGTTCTCCAATTTCGGCGACGGCGACAACGACGGCCAGCGATATTGCGTGGTTCTTGCAGAGCCAGAGTGTACAATCCAGTCGCTTTTACACGTTTTCGAGGAAAAGGGACTAGAAATTGCGCGATATATTCTCTGGTCGCTATCGGGATGGTGGCCGCACTGCAGTATGCACGTCGCGCCGTCACGTGGCTGCGCGCCCGGGTGCTGCAGACGTTATTGACACCACATCTGTCGTCGCACTACAAGCTTCTGGACGGGCCCGTGCTCGGCGTGGGCTTTGCCGGCACGGTCGTGCGGGCGATCCACCTTGCATCGGGCACGGAAGTCGCGATCAAGCGCCTCCGACCGCCATCGCACGGCTCGCTTGCCGACTACTTTTGCAATGCGCACAACGAAGTGACGTGCTTGGAGCGCGTCGCTGGCCACGCGCATGTCGTCTTGCTCCTTGAGCGCTTTGCGACGGCGCACACCTTTGATATGGTGTTTCCGCTCGCGCCGCATGGAAACCTCGGGCACTACCTGCGTGTGCACGGCGACATGCCCGAGATGGCGGCCAAGTCGGTCGTCCAGCAAGTGCTGGCCGCGGTCGCCCACTGCCACGCCCAGCACATTGTGCATTGCGACATCAAGCTTGAAAACATTTTCATCCGTCACGTCCACCCGCCGTGGCAAAAGCTCGTCGTGCAGCTGGGCGACTTTGGCTTTGCTACGATCATGGACGAGACACGGCTTCTCGAAGGGCTGTGCGGCACGCCCTTGTACGTGGCCCCCGAGATGTTGGCTGGCGAGCCGTACTCGATGGCCGTGGACCTCTGGAGCGTCGGCGTCGTGGCGTACATTCTGTTGGCGCATGGGATGCCAACGAGCCCGCGCGGGTTCCAGTACCAGCGCCTACCCTCGATCGCAGCCCAAGCGTTCGTGCAGGCGCTCTTGCAGGTAGACGCATCCAAACGGAGCTCGGCAAGAGCGATGCTGTCCCACGACTACTTGACGGATTCTTTTGGAAGCCATCGCTAGAATTGCGACGAGAGGAAGGAGCTGCAACCGGTCTCCGTTCTGGTCGAGACCAACGCTTGGGTCGTCATGGCTATCTACACGCGTCATCTGTCCGATTACCGCGATGCGTACGAGTATCATGGACCACCACCAGGAAAGCGCACGGTAGCACTACCTCTCGCGACCAGATTGATGTATGGTACATGTGGTTGAACCTGAATCTCGCTTTAGTTGAAATGTGTTTCGAACCAGACTCGGTGGAATCTCATGTATGAATGAAGAAGGCATCCTCATTCTCGCACTTCTCGGACGAGCGTCGTCTTCTTCAGGATCAAAGATACTGGTTCTCACCATGTGCTTGGCTTTGGACGTGGCAACGAAGCAAAGCGAAGGATCGGTTATACCCAGCATCTTTTGAGGAGACGGTCGTCGTAGTGTAATTAATCGTCACGGAACCTGGCGAACGTCCTGCAGAGCACTTCGAGGTGGAAAAGAGTGCCATCGAGATCAAGAAATGCTGGGACCTTGACAGACCAAGCATGTCTCGAAGAAAATTTCGCTGGCGACTTCCGCGCGAGAGGGTTTTACGACCCCTACCCCGCCTTGCAAGGACCCAAATGGCCAATCACGTGGGACCTTGACGATTTGTCGACGGATCACGGCGCCGCAAGCAGGTGTCGCAGCACGTTCCGACCTTTGATGGTCGGTCGATTCTACGGAAAGAGGCAAAGCAAAACAAGAGCTCGGGCCACACAGCGAACGGTCTCCATATATATCGATCGACCCGGCTTGCTCGACTCTTTTCAAACCATATACGTCTCGAACGGCGAGCACGCAAGAGTCAAAAGAGTCAAAAGATACCTGTGTCGGCAGAGGTACAATGCTCCTTTGGTGCGGACGCGGCTGCGTTGTGGGTTGGCAAGCCATGTCGCAAGCGCTCCTTCGAAGCGATCAGTCCGCACACCCGGCTCTTTTCTTCGTTTGTATACTTTTTCTTGCGACTACCCATCCCCACAAAAATAGGTTGGATAGGTTGGGACCGTACGCTCGGTGCACGCCGTTTGACCTTGTATCCCTGTCACCTTGAAGCTTGCATTGCGTCCGCCAATCAAAAGCGCGTATCTTGTCCGTAGCCAATCCGATGCGATCATCGTTATCGGTTGATCCAATCACGAGGCAGTCTTTGTTCTAGAACGTCTTGCCGAACATCCGCGTGTCGCATGTACATATCCCAGGAACGATCTAATCCGTTTTGGTGCTGCAATCCACGCCGAGATCCCAAGAGCTCATTTTCCAATTTCCACTCATCAACACACACGATGACCCACCTGCTACCCGGCGACTTGATCCGGCTCATCGAGACGCCCAAGGAAAAGGTCCCGTCGACGCTCGCGCACGTCGGGGGGTCTGCCGGCCTCGCCAAGTCGCTCGACTCGTCGCTCGAGTTTGGCCTTGACGCTACGAACGCCAAAGACCTCGCTTTGCGCGCCGACACATTTGGCGCCAATTTTGTACCGCCGCCGCCGCCCACGACCTTTCTGCAGCTCGTGTGGGCCGCCTACAAGAACTTGACGCTGCTGGTGCTCACAGGGGCCGGCGTTCTCTCGCTTATTCTTGGCTTCACGGTCGGTGGCCCCGACCCGACGCCGCGCCGCCTCAGCAGCGGCGACCCCGCAACCGCGTGGATCGAAGGCTTTGCTATCCTCCTCGCCGTCACCATCGTCACGCTGGTGACAGCCGTCAACAACTATCAAAAGGAGCAGCAGTTCCGGGCGCTCTCGGTCATCAAGGACGACGAGCGCATCAAGGCGATCCGCAACGGATTGCCGTGCGAGGTGGGGAAGCACGACTTGCTCGTCGGTGACGTGGTCCGCATCGACGTGGGCGACATTTTGCCTGCGGACGGGATCGTGTTTGAAGCCTCCGAGCTCAAGGTCGACGAGAGCGCCATGACGGGCGAGTCGGTTCTTATTGCCAAGCACCCGACGGGCTTGACGCCCTTTGTGCTCTCGGGTACGAAAGTCATGCAAGGCATGGGCAAGATGCTCGTGCTGGCGGTCGGTGTCTCGAGCCAAGCCGGCATGATCTCGGCGCTGCTCGTCGGCGGTCCTTCGACGCCGTCGAGTCGCACCATGACGCAAATCAGTGATGATGACGCGTACGTGGCGATTGCGACGCCGCGGGACGACGAAAGTGGCGCTAGCGACAAGATGCTAACGGTGGCGCCGTCACCGGACGAGCCGGAAGAGTCGCCGATGCAAGGCAAGCTCGACGCGCTCACGATCTTACTTGGCAAATTCGGCATCACGATGGCGCTGCTCGTGTTTGTCGTGCTCATTGCACGCTTCTCGATCGACCAGTTTGCCGTGGACGGCCGGTCGTGGGCCGGCACGGCCGATGTCAAGGAGTTTCTGCACTTCTTCATTGTCGGCGTCACGGTCCTCGTCGTCGCGATCCCCGAAGGCCTTCCGCTCGCCGTGACGATCTCGCTCTCGTTTTCGGTCAAGAAGATGCTGCTGGACAACAACCTCGTGCGCCATTTGAGCGCGTGCGAGACAATGGGCTCGGCGACGACCATTTGCTCGGACAAGACGGGCACGCTCACGACCAACCAGATGACGGTCATGCAGTGCTGCTTTGGCGACACCGTCTTTGCGTCGCCGCAGGCGGTGCGCGCAGCGGCCACCGACGCCATGATTGAGCTGCTCGTGCACAGCGTCGCGATCAACTCGACGGCCGAGCGCGTGGACGGTGTCTTCACCGGCAACAAGACCGAGTGTGCGCTCTTGGAGTTTACCGCATCGCTGGCGCCGACGGCTTTGTACGACGACGTCCGCCGGTCGCATGCAAACATGCACATTTTGCCGTTCTCGTCGGCCAAGAAGCGCATGTCGGTGGTCGTGCCGCTCACGAAAACGTCGAGCCGCGTCTACACCAAGGGCGCGAGCGAGATTGTGCTGGGTCTCTGCAGCCACATGGCCTTTCCCGATGGGTCCACCCGGACGTTGGGCCCCGACGAGGCTTCGTTTTGGCGCGATGCGATCATCCAGCGCTTTGCCAACGACGGCCTCCGAACGCTTTGCCTGTGCTACAAGGACATTGCCGCGCCGTTCGAGGAGGTCGTGGCGCAGTACACGGAGGCCGACCTCGAGCGCGATCTCACGTGTGTTGCGATCGTCGGGATTGAAGACCCCGTGCGCCCCGATGTCCCCGACGCCATTCGCCACTGCCAGCGCGCGGGTATCGTCGTGCGCATGGTCACCGGCGACAACCTGGCGACGGCCACGTCCATTGCGAAAAAGTGCGGCATCCTCGGCGCGGAGGCGGATGCGCTCGTCATGGAAGGCGCCGAGTTTCGTCGCCAAGTGCTCGATGGCAACGGCCAGCTCCAGCAAGATGTGTTTGACACGATCTGGCCGCGGCTCCGCGTCCTCGCGCGCTCAAGTCCGCAGGACAAGTACACGTTGGTATCCGGCATCATGGCGTCGACGATCCATGGGCCGCAGGTCGTGGCGGTCACGGGCGATGGCACCAACGACGCGCCGGCGCTCAAGAAGGCGCATGTGGGCTTCGCCATGGGCATTTGCGGCACGGCCGTCTCGAAAGACGCGTCGGATATCATTTTGATGGACGACAACTTCAAGTCGATTGTGAACGCGGTCAAGTGGGGCCGCAACGTGTACGACTCGGTCTCCAAGTTTCTCCAGTTTCAGCTGACCGTCACGCTGACCGCGATTACGCTCTGTGTGCTCGGCGCCATCTTTCTCGAAGAGACGCCGCTAAGCGCTGTCCAGCTGCTCTGGGTCAATCTCATCATGAACACGTTTGCGTCACTTGCGCTGGCGACCGACACACCGTCGAACGCCGTCCTCGACCGCAAGCCATACCCGCGCACCAAGCCGCTCATCTCCAAGAAGATGACCAAGCACATCCTGGGGCACCTATTGGTGCAGCTTGCGATTTTGCTGACGCTGACGCTCGAGGGCGATAAGCTGCTGCAGATCCCGTCTGGTCGCAAGTACGAAACCGAGGACCCGAGCCGGCCCTCGGTGCACTACACGGTTGTCTTCAACACGTTTGTGTTTCTCCAGCTCTTCAACGAAATCAACGCGCGCGTGATCCACGACGAGAAGCGGGTCGTGCTCCGGGGCCTCTTGACCAACCGCCTGTACGCGTGCATCTCGGTCCTTCAAGTCGTGCTCCAAGTCATTTTTGTCCAGTTTGGCGGCAACGCGTTCGACTGCGCGCCGCTGAGCGCGACGCAGTGGGCGGTCTGCATTGGTCTCGGCGCGCTGAGCTTGCCCGTTGGCTGGAGCTTGCGCCGGATCCACTCGCACCATTTGCCCAAGTGGTTTGCACTCTTCCGCCGCGCCCACCCGCACTCGTACCTTCGGTTCCGCTAGGCTCCACGCCACCCCTCCCTTTGTGTTTTCATGCTTGTTTCGACACTAGTGTGTTGTATAAAAATACCATGAAATAGTTGATGTTTTTTGCTTTCGAGGCTCTATTAGACAATCAATGGATATATGGTTGCGGAAAAGGGTGCAACGCGAGCGCGTATGGACGGTTTTTTAGCCACCTACAATCAATCAAACGTGTTCGCGTTCCGCGTTATCTTCCTTACACACGCTCGCATAGTTCGCATACGTAGTGCTACGCCTGAATGCGTGCGAGTTGGCACCAGCACTTGGTCGTTGGGAGTGAGCTGCGCACGGAGAGATCCATCCCGTGGTGGACCCCACTCGCCGAGGGATAGCTCGCTCGAGGTCGTACGCAGGCTCCTGTACTCGGACCACCCGACAGAGGAGTGCAAGCCGTCGGGTGTGTTTCAAACGAACCGTCCGAGCCCGCATCCGAATAAATCCGGATACCGACCGAGCACA